AGGATTCCTAATCAAAATGCTTCTAGGTAAGCGGTTTAGGAGATACAATAAGTATAATAACAAGGTTACAACTCAACTAGGACAGTGACAATTAATTGTTTAGGAACTGTCCATAGTGGCGTTCAACCTTGTTCTTCAAGCATGTGAGGATGATTTCTCTATTTTTTTTCAAGGGGCTTGAATGAGAAACAGAACCCTTCCAGTGATGTTTTTGTACAAAGCTCATTTGGTACATCTTGATCACGTCACTTGAAATGATATGAGTACTTTTTTTTGTTAGAGAATGAGTGGGCTGACAGTGTAGTGCAGTGCGGCAGAAACAGTACCGTCAGTCACTTCATTTCCAGCTATGTCCAAATAACTTTGTACTACTATGAGGAAACCACAAGAGCATCAGGTCCTTGTTTGGTTCCTAGCTCCTAAAGTTGTAGTAGTTCATCTTTAGCTGGAATTCGTTAAAGTTTGCAGCAATCCAAGTAGGTCAAGTTCCCTATCTGGTTCTTAATAGTTAGTTTGTTAGATCATCAAAACATAAGGCAAGAGTATTTAAGATCTATCAAGAGTGTTTTCCCGAACTTCTTTAGTAAGACAAACTCGATCTCGTCGTCCTTTATGTCGTTACCCTTCACTGCGCAAGTGTAAGCAGTAACGTGCTCGTTGGGGTCTGAGGTCCCGTTGTATTTTGGAAGGTCTGGCATTCTAAACTTCTTTGGGATGGGTTTTGGAGCTGCCTCCTCTGGGAATGGCCTTTGTACGAACTTCTTCAAATCTACCCCTTTTAGGACCGGGGGTGCGCCCGGAATTTGGTCGACCCTATAGTTGTAGGTCTCGACCTTTTTGTCATTGGCTTCTATCATTTTCTCACCCGAATCAATCCTTCTGGTGAGGTCCTCGAGCATTTTTACGATGATGGGATCGGTCATCGACCCGTTATTGCTCGATCTCTCCAGTACCTGTTCGGCTAGGGGAGCTGTCCCCGGTGCTACCATGCTAGGAGTTTTCTGGTGACTTTGCAGCTGAGCAATAGCCAGCTGTTGTGACTGCAACATTTCAAAAATAACACAAAGTCTAACCTCTCGTTCTTCCCTAGTTGGGGTTTCCCGAGCTTCTTTTGGATCCCCTTGTTGCACGCTCCTATCAGTGTGGGAGCTTAAGTCGATGTGTTGGCCATCATGTGAAACCGCGTCCACGGGGATTGGTTCTGGTACATTCCCAGGGTTTCGTGGTGGCACACCAACACCTGGAACATCTACGCCATTTTCTCTGTGGTTCTCCAGATTGTTGTTTACTGAGTCGGACACTTTGACCTCAAATCGAAGATATTGGACAAGAAAAAGCGTGAAAAGTAACTTGCGTTGTGTAGCTAAACCAACAAGAAAATAATCACTATTATTTTTAGTCCCACGGTGGGCGCCAAACTGTTTACCGTGAAAATAGTAATAACAATTAAATTTGATTATGGGACTCTAAAAATATGTGATCTATTTTTATGCTAGTTGTTAAGCAGATGATGCTATGTGTGAGACTTAGAAACGAAATAGGAGTGAAGGATAAGGCGATAACCAAACCGATAGGTTAACAATTTGGGCCTCGAGCTTGTCGATTCGGAGGCCTCGGGGTCGATTCCAAAGCTCGGCTTGGAGCTATCGAAGGTGATCGAAATATAGCTAAAAGTAATAATGAGATCAACGAAGGCTCTTTATGGCCAATGATAAGCAATAAATGATGAACAATAATGAATATAATAAAGGGAATCAATAATATCTAGAGAATGTGTTAAAGAGCAAAGAAAATGTTCTTGTATATTTCGTATGGAGCAACTGAAGCAACAACCCTTTACAAAATGATATAGATCCCCTTTATATAAGAGGGGAATCCCAACATAGTACAAAATACATTATTGGCAAAGAAACGGAGATGGGACAGCTAGATGACACCCTGATTTAGGGTTAGGGTAGTCCACTAGGCTCTGTCAGTCCTAGCCGTGTACCTTAGGAACTCCTCATTTCTACCATAGTCGTGGTCAACATTGTCCCAAGATCGGGCATCGACGAACCTCGAGGGGGAAAACTCGACTATAGCCTTGTAGCCTCGAGGCTTTGAGATGATCTTCTGAGGTGCCTCGATGATGAGGAATTGGACCCTCCGATTTCACCGTATACAAGGGTCGATCAGGTTTTCCCTTCCCTCGGACGCTATCAAGAAATTATTTCCCCCCTCGCCTTCAACTCGGGGACTTCCCACTACTTCTGGAGATAGGGTTGCCGGATCGCCCTTAGTTTCTTCCACCTTGGTCTTCTTGGATTCCGAAGGTTCATTCGACGGCTCCCTTTGTCTTTTCTTCCCTTCATCGGGTCCCGAGGTACCCTCTTCACCAAGCGATGTTCCCTTCATCAAGGGGACCTCCACCAGACCTACGCGAATGCAAGAGGTAAGCACATGGAGTAAGGACACTATCAGTAGCAATTCAGATTAAAAGGTACGACTGAAGCAGGAGTAAAGGCTCACCATGGTCCTTGGCTTCCCATCAAGCTTGGGACAGATCACGCCACACTCGCTCAGCATATGGACAAATCAAGTCTAGCCGACCGACCCAGCCCGAGAGGTCCGTGACCGCGCTAGGGTAAATTGCCACGGCTGCATTAGCAGAAAAAATTAAGGGCGTGGAAAGATGTACCTAAAAAGAAGCAAGGAAATGCTAAAAAAACGTATCTACTTACGTTCCATGTTCCACTTTTCGGGGAACGGCATCCTTTCCACCGAGATAAAGTCCGAAGTTCTAACTCGGACAAAGCGGCTCATCTACCCTCCGTTCCCAACTTCTTCGATGAAAGCAAAAAGGGCCCTCGAAGCTCGGTAGTAGAGCTTAATCAGACCCCCATGGAAGAGATGGGGGTTGTACATCCTGATCATGTGATCGAGGGTGAAGGGCATCTCCTCAATCATGTTCATGTAGTACCTGATCATGTAGACAATGCGCTAGAACGAAGGGTGAATTTGGCCGAGTGCCACTTGATACTATTGGCAGAAGTCGATAATCACGAGTCTATCGGAGGCAAGGATGGCCCCACCGTCCCAAGGGTAAATGGGTAAGAATACACACTGCGAAAATCGACTTTGTATGTCTTTATATCCTCCTCCCAAGAAGGGATCTCCACAAGCACTGCATCCCCCCAGCGGCAATCAGTCCTCACCCTTTCGACATTTGTTATTGAGCTAATATACTAAGACACAGACTCACGATGCCCCGGCTTCGAAGAAGGTTTCTCGACCTTGAAATCGGAAGTCATTGCAAAAGGTCTTGGAACGCATTCCTCAACACGAGGAGGCACTGTCGCTTTTCCTTTAGATGGAAGCGAAGAGGAGGAGGTCACGTTCTCCTAAGAAGCAGAGGTGGAAGTTTTCGCCATTCCTAAAAGATTTCAGAGGAGAAAGGGAAATTGCGTTCCGAAGAAAGAACAAAAGTGAAGGTAGAAGGAACCTTTTTGGGGGGGCTTGGTGGTGCAGTGAGTTATAAAGAACGAGAGAAGAGGTATTTATAGAGACCCCCACGCGCGTTGAAGGAGGCCAAAGGACAGCCTACCGTTGTAATCAATACAAAGGCTTTCAAGGGGTGTGTGTATGCGATCTTTCGGCACCTTATGACTGCCGTCGTTACGGAAGTACCAGAGGCGCAGGAATTCAAGGTCGTTTCTTATCATTTTCACTCTAAGAAACGCGGGGACTATCTGTATGCAGTAAAATCGGAGAGTCCAATTTTCCGTCGTTGCGATGCCTCGTAAGCACATTTCACAGGTTCGAGACTATGTTCGAGGTTTACCCCGAGGGCTATCGACGCTCGACCTCGGGGCAGTGCAGACCAACGACTATAATGAAAAAGTGGGGAGTTCCCAAGGCGCATAACTAGAGCTGATAAAGTCTAGTGAGCTAAGTTCAGACCCGAATCATGGCATCAACTAGCAGTCCCATCTCTATATCTTTGTAATAAATGTATTTGTACTATGTTGGGGTTCCCCTTTATATATAAAAGGGATCCTTGTCATTTTGTAGAGGACCTGTTGCTCAATACTAAATACACAAGAACATTCTCTCTGCTCTTTAACATATTCTCTTGATCTCATTGCTTCCATTTATTGCTTACATTGATTGTGTTCTATTTATTGTTCATCATTTACTGCTTATCATTGGCCATAAACAACCGTTATTGATTTTATTATAACTGTTAGTCGTCCCTCGATTACCCTCGGCGGGACATCAGACTCGACCTCGAAGCCCTGAATAAGCAAGCTCGAGGCCCCGATCTTCAGCCGTTTGGTTTGAGTATTATATCGTTTTCTAGCTATAATCTTGCTTTCTAGTCTTTTACTTTAGCATTTTTTGACTTACAACTAGCATAAAAATAGATCACGTATTTTTAGAACAACAAAATCAAATTTGATTGTTATTATCATTTTCACGATAAATATTAACCACCCTTAGCTTCTTGTTGTATTTTTCTCTTTTTATTCTTTCTTGCTAATATCTGAATCTTTTGTGACTAAACTGCCTTATGATTGCCCTCTTAAATCACACTGTGGGAGGGGACCCCACCAATTATCTTATCACCTCATGCTTGAACAATATATATATATATATATATATATATATATATATATATATATATACCAATGGCCCCCTTGCTGTCAGCCGTATGTATCTCTGTCTTTTAGTGCACGTTTGATGTTAATATCAATGGCGACTAACAAGTTGCCTCTTTAAGTAACCAACTTCTACATTCTAAAATAACGTCCTACGAAAGAGTAAAAAGGAGAAGTTATTTCTTTTTGGATAGAGTAGTAATAATTAATATTTCATTCGTTTAAATTTATGTGAATTTATTTCGTATTTACTTCATGCCAAAAATAATATTAACTTCTTTTTTTATATGAAAATAATTTACGTTTATGCAATAATTTATAACGACACAAGATTATATATATAACTAATTTTACACCATAAATTTAAAAATATTTTTATTTTTTAAAATTTTTTAGTCAAATGGATTCATTGAGTTAAAATATTTATAATAAAATCTTCAAATAGTAACCGTGTTCACGTAGAGCCTGACAAAAAAGAAGAAGTGGGCAAAGCCATTGGATTCAGTGACTTTTTTGTTGCTTATATACTGCTTTTGGTATTATTATACATGTAAATGGTATATCCCATAAGGTTGATGGTGTTTCCTGTTCTTGATTTTTTTTGGGGTTTTTCAAGATTTCATCTGTCACCAAACAAGATTTTCTGATTTTCAGCTTCTGGGGTTTTATAAAAAATGAAGTTGAGCTCTATATTTGTCGAAAGATCAGTTCTTTTGTCTCAATTTATTTAATTTGAGGTCTTGCTTTGCTTTCCTGTTCTGTAAATCCACTGAAAGATTGTTACTTTTTAACCTGTGATTTGCTTATTCTGGATAGCTTCAAGACTCATTACGTAAAAGGTTGTTTAAATTGCTTCAGATTTTTAGTTTCTGATTTAGGAGATTCCCATGGAACCAATGCTACTATAGATTTTTAGCCAGAAATGTGGAAAATGTAATATTTTAGTACATTCCTTCCCAAATTGAAGTGATAATGACGAAAAGTTTCAACCTTTGTAGTTCTTGAAAGTGGAAAAAGTTGGGATTTTTATTATAAGGAGAACTGATATACAAGAAATCTATTAAGATTTTGGATTGAGTTTTTTTTTTTTTAAAGTAATGGAGAAACAGGTTAGTTTCCAGGGTCCAACAATGGAAAAGCAACAGAGTTTTCGAAATGGGGCGACGGAGCAGCAGAAAAGCTTTAGAGGAATAATGGAAAAGCAGAAAAGCTTTAGGATAGCAATGGAGAGGCAATTGAGTTTTGGTGGTGAGAGGAAAAGGGGTAAGGAATCACCGGGGAAACGAGGGGATTCGATTCTCCACCTTGCAGCTAGAGGAGGGAATTTAGGAAAAGTGAAAGAAATTGTTGACAAGTTTGATGAGAAAGGCATAAAAGATTTGCTATGTAAGCAAAACCAAGAGGGTGAGACTGCTTTGTATGTTGCTGCTGAGAATGGCCACAGTTTGGTTGTTGCAGAGTTCTTGAAACATTTAGACCTTGAAATTGCTTCAATTGTGGCAAATAATGGCTATGATACTCTCCATGTTGCAGCAAGGCAGGGTCATCTTGGTGAGTCTTCTAACACAGAACCCC